GTAAGTTCTGTCAAACACTTGATGAATTAATTCCCACATTTCAGTTCTGTCTTCTCTCATTTGTGAGATGGGGAAAGTCCTGGAAGGGAGTTCATGGAATCATAGAATGGTTTGGGTTGGAAGGGACCTTAAAGATCATACAGTTCCAAACCCCCACCATGGGCAGGGATGCCACCCACTAGATCAGGTTGTTCAGGACCCCTTCCAACCTGGCCTTGGCCACTGTTAGGGATGCGACATCCAGAGTTATTTAGATATTCCACCAGGGATGGGACATACAGAGTTATTTAGATATTCCTCTTCATCCCAGAACTGTTCAGATTTCCATAACTTGTGCAGTTATTTATGGCACTTAGTAGTCACGGAAATGCATCACCACTAGGGAAGACCTGCCATAATCCAATTGGCTATTTCAGTTACTCACTTTACTGGTGTTTTTAACACAAGTGCCCTCTGTTGAATTTTCTGTTCTCTCCTAGACAGCAATTGCTTCCTTCCTGTAAGAGCTAATTAAGCTTTCTTTTCAGTTGCTCACTTCTTACAATATGAACATCCATCAGGTTTGCCCTTAAAGAGTATGATCAGTCTTCCAGAGAAAGTCCCTCACCGAATCGCTATTAAACAATCAATATTTCTAGTTGGATGTAAGGTAACCTGTTTCTCTCTTCCCCCAGTCACAAATCACCTTATTGTTTCTTTTGTTTCTGTTCTCCCTAGACCTCCTAAAATTGATCTTTTCCCTTGTGGCAGGCCTGAACAAAGATTTCAGCAAGGGGTTGTCCAATAAGCCAATGCTTTGCACGATGCACAGTGTTAAAGCCAGTATCTCCAGACTGGTTTCCTTCTCTCTACCAAGTCTCCCAGCTTCCAACTCAAGAAACAGAGCTCACATTTATCCTTTGGCTGAAATAAAACAGAGCGGAGCCAGGGCAGGTAACTGCAGTAACTCACTAGGCATCTGTACACTTAATAAAATGTAGTGTTCTCCTGGCATAGAAGGGAGCCAAATGCCCTCAGTTGCCATTTCACTGAAGTAAGCCCTGCAAACCACAGGGATTTAGAGTTCTTATGTCCAATGCTTTTTGCAGTTCTTCATGGTCATGCACTAAAAGAGTGCTCATTGATTTAATAAAGCCAAGGTCTAGAGAGATCTATAAATACAAGTATTTTACCCTCATGCATTATTGCCCTGATGCCCAAGACTGAACTTCTGCTCCTTCACAGATAAATTGCTTCCTCGCTGGTTAACACCAGCTTCCATTTGCAAAAGTGGTGGCAGACATATTTTGGAGAGTGACCCATGATAAAACACAGCTTTGTCTATTTTTTTTGTTTTCCCTTTGATTTCCTTACTTGCCACATCCCACACTCTTCTTTTTCCCATCCCCCTCTACTCAGAAGAATCAATAATGTCCTTCACGTATTCTTTATCAACATTACCTAAAAAGTTATCAATGAGTCTCACTTGAAATCAATGAGTCTCACTTGAAATCAATGAATCAGCACAGAGACATACATCAACTTCAGGGGGCTCAAGATGATCTTGGTCCTACAGTTGCCAAAATTGCCTTCTAAAAGGCAGTCTGAAACAATTCTTTACGTCTTTTATAGACTTATAACAACATTAATACCAATAATATAAGAGGGGCAGAGGTAGTGTTGATATTTCAATCCTAAAGTAGAAGACATTCCGTACATCAGCTACTCTGTAAATTCCAAAATGTAAAACATAGAGCTTTCTAGTTATACTTTTCTTTGCATTCAACAGCAAATTAAGGTTTATGGTTTTCTTTTAAATATATCATAGGAAGTTTTATTTAGAACAACTGTTTTACAATTACTCCTGGTGCTTGGCTTGTCCAATTGAACTGCTCCCAAAAATGTTTAACTCTGAAGCAGAATGACAAGGAAATGGAATGTTTCTCCCCAAAACGTGTACTAGCTAGCAACATTATTAACCACTGCATTCCCAGCACAGCAGGCAACATCATCCTTGGAACAGAGCACTCTGATGAAAGCATCACTCGTGCTTTCACTGTCGTCTTATTACAGCACATCCAGTCATTTTGAAGCCTTTACCTTGCAGCCTCATGGAGCTCCTCACCTACTGGTATGTGACACTGAACACGTGGGAGCTTGAAGCAGCAGTGTCCAAACCTTACCTTTCATTCTCTTTGCTAAGCTACAAGCAAAGTCTTCTGGGTGCACCACTGACTCTGGTTGAAAACAGCTCTCCCCCCAAATTCACATAGTAAATACATGGTTTCACAATGTCGTATTAAAGTCATGTACAACTTTGTACCCGAGTTTTAAAGTCTAAGAAAGGACTGCCAGATCATGGATTAGGTTACTTTCCATTAGCTCAGCTCTGAGATAACCTTGTGTTACACAAAGGCAACAGAGGCACCTAAGATTTGATTATGTGAAACATTCTCCACTGTGTGCAGTTACATTTAGTACAGGTCTAAATGTTCTTACTAGCTGAAATCCAAACTTACCAGGCAAACACACATTATACAAGGGTTGTCTGTGATAAATGGTATCTGCAGAATTTCCCCTTCATTTTCACATTTTGCAACAGATCCTGAAATAGAAATAAAAATTTTAAAATACTAACGTATTTCAATTTCCCCTGACGGTTTTGGAAACTGTCCTTTTTACACTCACATTTGAGCCCTGCTCCATTCCTAGCCTTTGATTTTAAACCCTGCCTTAATTCGCCCAATTTAAGCAAGCAAGGACATTCAGTGTTTCGGTAGGGTTCCAAAGAGAATGGGGAAATGACTGGCCTTTCAATGCTGCACAAACCTAGACTTTCTTTGTGCCCCAGTTATAGCAAAGAAGGACGCTTTTTCTCCTCTCAGATGACGTGTTGAGAATAACGAGTACTCCATGCAAAGCAGAAAACGTCTATAACGATAGATCCAGAGCTCACTGAAACCAGCAGAAAGCTGTCCATTACACTCCAAGAACTTGGACCAGGAGCACAGCACAACCCTAAACCAAGCATCCTTTTAACACGCGACAGCCAACTGGCAAATGAGTCAAAATTAGCAAGCTGACTGTCAGATAGAATCAAATTAGAAAACCCTTTCTGGCCCTAGTGCTGATTAGCCGGTATTCTGTCATGTTGGAATCACTTCTCAGAGTCTAATGGCTCCTCGCTTGCACTAGAATTTGATTCAGCGTTTCCCTCCATGCCCCAGATACCAGGAAACGTAGCCCTCGAGGGGAAGCAGGGAAAAAACGGGGAGAGAAAAGAAACATGAAAATGTAGAGGGCAGGGGGCACGGCTACTGTGCTCACCTGCCCCAACCCACGAGGTTACACCTCCGGCCGCCCTTCCCGCGCACTGCCAGGCAGCCCCCGCTCCCGACGGCGAGTGCCGGCGGCAGGTGGGCCCCGCGCCCCCGCGCCCCTGTACCTGTGAGCAGGGAGGAGGCCGGCGCCCCGGGGAGGCACAGGACGCCCAGGAGGAGGGCGGCGGCGAGCGGGGCGAGGCGCGGGGCCGCAGGCCAGCCCCCGGCGAGCCGCGGCATCGTCCCGGGGGTGCCGCTGCCCGCCCGCCGGCTGAGGGGCAGCGTCCGGGACGCGCCGTCGGGTGGCGGAGCCCGCCCACCCGCGGCACGCCCGCCCCAGCACCGACCCCCGGCGCCGGGCAGCGGCTGGGGGGTGAGGAGCAGCACGGGAGACCGCGGCCCGCCGGCGAGTCCCACCCAACGGCGGCACCGGGGGAGGGGACTGTGGGTGCGGGGAAAGCAGCTGTCAGCGCCTGCCCCTCGGCCCCGCACCCCCTCTTTCCATCACCCCCCTCTCCTGCCCGCATCCCTTCTTATACCTTCCTCTCCCCATAGTCCCTCCTCCGGCACCCCCCGGCCCCCATGCCTCCCTCCCCCCCGGCGCACACACGCACAGACAGGCTGCCAGCCCCAGACCCCGTTTCCCTGCCGGGAGATGCCCGGCCACTCCCTCCCCGTCCCCGCCGAGCACCGCCTGGCCCGGCAGCGGCGTCGGGGGGCTGCGCCCGCGGCCGCCCGGCGGGAGGGGCGGGGGAACGGGAGAGGATCGAGGAGAAGAGGAGGAAAGAAGAAGAGGAGGAAAAGGTAAACGAGGAGTAGCAGGGGAGGAAACGTGGATCCTCGGACAGGGCCAGGGCGGTGCAAACCCCGGTACCTGGGCAGAACGCGGCGGCGCCGGCTGCCTCCGGCGGGCTTGTCCTCAGCTCCGCAGCCCGACTCGTGTCAGTGCCCTCCGTGCCTGCGGGAGGGTTTCGCCGGCCGCCAGCGAGCGGGGAGAGGGAAAGAGGGAAGGAAGGACGGGAGGGAGCGAGGGGTCGGAGGCTGTCCGCCGAGAACTCCTCGGCGGGGCTCCGCTCCCCGGCTGCCCGCCCGGCCGGGGCCACCGAGCTCCCTTCGCCTCCACGCCGCCCCCGCTGCTGTCCCCTCTCTCGCGGCAGCCGCAGCACCAACTCCCGCAGCCGGAGCCGGACTCTCCCCGGGGCCGCTGCCCCCCGAGAAGGGCTTCCCTTGGCCCTCCCTGCCCGGCTCCGGGGCTGCCGCTCCCCCTCGGGGCGCCTGGGGCTCGGCGGGGTTGGGGCCCGGCGAGGTTGGGGCTCAGCCCGCCCGAGGGCCTCGGGAGCAGCAGGGGCGCAGCTGCCGGGGCCGCGCTCTTCGTCCCTGAGCCTGGCCCGCCGTGCGGGGCCCTCGGTCCGTCGCTCCCCGATGGGCTGTAGCCTTGGCAGCTACTCCTTAACACTTGCCCTTTTGCAGGTCCACGGTTTGCGTAAACAGGGGCAATGTTAGCGATTGACATCACCGACAGCCAGCTTTTGCACTCACAAATAGACGCAAGGTCGGGACGGGATGACACTTGTGGGTTGTGGCAGGACGTTTTTCTGTGACAGATCTTCCCGAACCTGTTTTACAAATCGATTTCCCTCAAACTGTGATGTTTCACTTAGGGAAGTGAACACTCTGAAATAAACTAGTCTGACAACAAACTGAAAAATGTTTCCAGGTTTCTATGCGTTCTTATTTTATTTCTTCCGGGGGTGCATGTGAGCTGCTGTTTCAAAAATGCTTATAGTAATGGCAAATAAGGTGCATGACAGGCTGATATATACAGGACTATTTCAAATACATTTCATTTCCCAGGAAGATGCAAGACAAATAGATTTACATGAACATTTTAAGAATAAAACCCAAAAGCCAAGACCTCTGAAAGCTTACATCTTTGTTCTAAAAAACTTGTACACTTCATTTCCAACTCAACTTGTCACCTACCTTTAGGTAGGGCACAGAAGCTGAAATTGCTGAAATTGCACCTATGGGAGGGACTACAGAGAACTGAAACCGATCAACTTGTAGACATCACTAGCAAAATCCCTCTCTCTGAGAAAAGAAAACCTGCTTTATTCCTCCAATCTCGGTCTGTACAGGTTGAAGCTGCATAGGCACATAGGATAATTTAGATACCATTAAAAGGATTCTATATTCCATAAAAATACAAGTCAAGTACAAAACTTGCTCCATACTGTGTAGAATACATAACAAACTCAGGATATAAATGTAACCTAGATTTTTTTTTCTGGGAGATGTCATCTTCACATTTCCATGCATTTTAAACAGACATGAGCCCGTAGAGGTACATATTATGCACTACTCCAGAATAGATTTTTGCATGTCCAAGTATTTTTTCCATTGGAAAGATGTACTGAGTCTTCTGGCAAGCTGGCTTCTCTATCTGTAATCAGTGGTTACTCTTTTTTAATTCCAGTGCAGCCATAGCCCTTCTAAAGCAACAACTGTAGGAAAAATAAATCTGCCCTAATAATTTCTTAAGTGACAACTACCACAGGAGAGTACTTATATCATTGTGTGCATTGAATCTTCTCTTTGTTCTGGTCTAAAATTCATTAAATATTAACATCACCCGGTGTGAGAAACACACAAATCACAATGAGGGCAGCAAATAACAATTCAGGCATCCAAATAACATCAGGGAACTTGTTAAAATAGTCCAAAAAAAGCAAGAAGTATAGATCTCCTTTACAAAATGAAGACAAGAGGCGACAGCAACTGGGCTTCATGCTCAATCTCTGCCATAACTCATTCAGTTAAGACAAATACTTAATGAAATCATACCTACATCAGGGCAGTTACAAAGCAATATGCACAGATTTGTTACATGATTTTCCTTTTCTCATAGAGAAAAAACAGTGTGATCATCACTGAAGCACCTTCAACACACTGATTAGACCTAAAACTTACCTCTGAAACATCTGCAGCATGAAAACATTGTCCATGGGATTAGCTTACTGGGTCCCTGCCTCTTTTGTGGTAGCAGCAGTGTTGGGGTGAGGAATTTGTCCATGTTCCTTGCTTGAAACACCTGCTGAAATGGAATTCTAAGCCTCCCCATGCCATGCCTATTCCACACTTCACTGCCTATTAGCTGCCCAGTGGAAAAGCCTGCTAAGCTTAGCAGCAACCTCTGTTGCTTCCTTGATATTGATAATGGTGACATATCACAGAGGAAGATCACTCTCTCATTTAAATCTCATGAAGTAAAACCCAGCCTGGGAGGGAAATACACCATCTTAATCCTCCCCCACTTTAGTTTCACCCACTCAGTGCTACAGGTTTGTCTTGGCTTTTTATCTCTCCTTTAACCTCTCTCCCAAGCCTGCCTTATGAGAGGTCAGCATCCTTTCTGGTTGTAATGCCACATTAAGTACAGTTTCAAGGTGTAGGGTTTTTTTTCCTTTTGCATCCCTGTTTGAAGAGGTACTCATTTTTCCAAGTAACATTCACAGCTGTGATCATTTTAGCAAAATCAGAGGGTCACACTGGAAACCATGTCCTGCTATCAGATACGCACAGATACTTTGTTGTATGCCAGCAGTTAAAACAGAAGTTATGTCATCAAACCACTCACCTCTTTTGTATAAGCATTACATGGTATGACTTGTTATTGAAAGGATACATTCATTAGTTCTGTTTATTAGTTGACTTGTGCTCATCCAGCTTGATGGAGCAGTAGCTGTTCACAGTTACCACTTTATATGGAATTCAGCTCCTTCTCCAGTGATGCTTTCCCAGTGGTCAGCCATAAAAGAGTGTCATACATTACCTGATCACCCAGCACTCACCTAAAAAGAAAAAAAAATCTTTATGGTTAACCATAGCAACAGTGAAGAAGACAGTGATTACACATCTTTCTTCACGATCATCTGTCTTACTAGCAAGTCAAAATCGCTAGAAGACCCAGTCTTCATGGGCTAGGAAGTTCTTCCAGAAGTGTGGGAGGCACTGAATCGCTATATTCATATGTATTTTCTTATTTTTGAGAGGAAATTTGCTCTTCTAGGTCTTGGGCATAGGTTGTCCTTACCATGCAAGTGTGCAATCAACACGCTACATATACATCAGCACTGCGAGTGTCCCTGCGTTTATTACTTTTATGTTGTTATATATTATATTAACACAGCTTCTTTGAATTTGTGAGCCTTCTCAGCATAAAAAAGAAAATATGACCCAGATATACACTGTATTGAAGGCTATGTAAATTGGCACAACCTGCTGTTTCCAGTTCTGGCTTGCTAAACAACTCTGCAGTTACAAGGTACTGAAAGTGGTTTGCATATCAAATGAAGCTTACACATTTCTATTGTTATGAACATCTTGCTAAAGATAAAGACCTCTTGATCCAGTAACTTACGCCATCAAAAAGAAGGTCGCATACATTTGATGTAGTTGGAGGCGTGGGTCTGATAAGCTTCAACCCTGAAAATTCTCGCAGAAAGACCTGTAATTTGGGAAAGTGTTTTATTATGGTGCATCAGCACACAGCAATTGGGAAGCTCAGGAGTAACTTGCAGGATTGTGACGAAGATATGGCACTTTCCTGCAAGCAAGCAGATGGGAGTTTACTGTTCATCCTTCAGTACTGAGCCAGGCTACAGCCTTTCAAATTCTTATGCATCCTCATTCATTTCAGTGCTTAATCATGTTTTAAAGCTAAGAGTATCCACCAGCGAGAGCAAACAGTATTTCCTTCATGGCCACTTTTCCTCTAGGAGATGATGTTAATAAACCTCAAGACTGGCCTGATAAGAGATGCTCCTGACAAAGCTCCCCTACTGCAAAATATTCAGAAAACTTAAATGGATGTAAATGAGGTCTGGAGACCACACCAAGAGGTTTTAAAACTGTAAGAGGATTAAAAAATGACATATGGTCAAAGTCTTTAAATAAAAGGAAAGTACAAGAAAATATCTAAAAGTTACAGTGATACTTACTTGAATAAATGTTTATAAATTTTATCAAACAACTCATCATTTTGACAGTTTTCCATAAACCCCTGGAACATGTGAAGCATTAATTTATTTATGGCAAAATAAAGATAATGAGTAACATTTTAAAAGTTTGTTAACATAGAATGTCCTGGCACAGTCATACTTACATACTTCTGTTGTTTAAGTTATATTTTCTAAGAACTAAAAAAAGCCTTACTAAAGTGAGCTTCTCATTGCAAAATCTTAAAAATTATCCTCATCATCTGTATTCATAGAAAAGCAAACAAAAGAAATAGCATAAACTAAACTGAATACAAATACCAGCAGTACCTCAAACTGAAAAATACTTGTATGCAGCATGCCATCTAAATGATGGGATTCCCAGTAGAAGCTATTCCAGAGGCCACAGGCCAAGCAAACAGAGTAAAGCAGCTTATGCTGGTACTCCTTTCTGTTACTTCGCTGCTGTAAATAGATTGCCTTTCAGAGAGAATAAAAATTATTTTGTGAGGGTTTTTTTGTGTTACATTTACCCTTGAACATCTGCTGTGTCTGATAAAGGATAAGAGCTAATGAAATCACACAAAGAGTGACATATATGAGGTGCTGCTTTGTTTTCAATTTGTGAGACGAACCAAACCCTGCTTTTTGTTTGGCTGCGGTACTGCCTGGTAAGTGCAACAAACAAGGAGTACTCAAGAAGCATTCTGTAAAATAGAAGATTGATTGATTGATTAATTGCAGATGAAGATGGACCCTCTCTGTACTAGAGAGAGATTATTTATCCCACCCCCTGCCCCCACAAAAGACAAGATATGCTTATTGTGACAGAAAATTGTTCCTTCCAGCCAGGATACAGTCGAAAAGCAGCTGCCTCTACCCAGCATAGAAAGGCAAAGGATTGCATTTTTGCTAAAAGACAAGTTTCCACGGCATGCATCCTATAAGATCACCACTTCACCTACAGAGAGTGTACCCTGTGAGTTCATTCCTCCTGATGCTGGTCCCCTTTCACAGCAGAATTTCTCCCAGGAGTTTTTTTGAACAAAAACTAAAGGCTTAAAAACTGGGAGGTGAGGTTTGAGGAATGAACCATATCAACTCGGAGACTCCTCTCCTTCAAACGCCCTCATTCACACCGAAACGAGTGAGAGGAGACTCGGGGCCATTAATTTTAAGTCATCTGTAATAAAAAGTTACCGCCAGTCGCTGAAGGCTGGCGCGGAGGATCAGCTCCTTGGCGGGGCGGCTGCCGGCAGGTGGCAGTGTTGGGAGCCCGGAGCCCCGCGGTCACAGCGCGGGCTGAGCTGGAGCTGCTTCCACAGTTAACCTGGGCCACAGGGCTGGTTACAGAAATCTAATCCATATGTCCTGATGCCTTGCTCCTACACCAGCGAAATGCTCTCCTGGTTTGTTCTCAGAATGTCGTTTTTCTTTTCACTCGTCTGGCTTTGTAGGACGTTCTCTCTTACTGCCCCTGCAATTAGTGCAACGTATCTTATTTTATCTGGAAACAAGACAGTTTTACAAAGAACCTCTATTTGTTGTTATTTTCAAAATACAAAGATTAGGCAATTTACTGATTACTTTTTTCTTCAGTAAATTGGCTATACGGCATTACAGCTGGTACAAGTAAGAAATCCTCCCTACTACTTTTCTTGGCTTCCAATTTAGGGGAAGCGCACTCAACTAAATATTAATACCCGATCTGTCCTACTGACTGACAGTGCCACACATATAGAGAGCAATGATCTGACAATCATAAGCAGTCTTGTAAAGCTCCATCCATCAGGATATTTTCAGATAGTACACCTGTGCAAACCGGGGTAATCCTACACTGATCTGTTGAAACTTCTGCTAGTTATGCAGTTTTGTAATGAGTATTATAGCCATTATTAAAGAAGTAATACTACAAGATTTAATAATTATACTGAATTTCCCACCACTCTGAATGATTAATTAAACCCTGGATATCCTGCATGTGCTTAACCCAAGTAGACAGGAGTACATACATACACAAAAAAAATCCCAAAGAAGAAATTCATTAAAAACCCATCCCATCTTGCTACCGATTCACACAGGTCAGATTAATCTCAGACCTTCACAAAAAAGAAAACACAGAGCCACTTGGGCAAGAGAAAAAAAAATGTACTTCCAGAAGGCAGTATAATTCATCTACCTGCCTCTCAGCTATCTAAGGCTCTCTCAGGAGGAGATGAGAGCAATACTAAATGTGCCAGAGGTGGGTTTTGGTGTCATTAGACAAATCTGCAGGGAGTTTCTGCCAAATCCCTAAGTTCTCTGACAGTAGCATACCTCCAAATACATCATTTAGAAGCATGAGATGAACAGAGACACGAAATACTATTTACTTTGGGAAAGTATCAGTCACATGTCTTGAATATATTAGCAGGTTAAACCCAGGAGAGTCAGCTGAATTACTTGTGACCAAAGAAAACAATCAATCAACAGTTTTAAGACTTCACAGAATTTTAAATATGTATTTACATGTGGTGTATGCTATTTATTTTAGGCATCTTTAAACCTAGACTCTGAAGTCTCAAGGTGATGGCTGGCAGGTATTCCAACATACAAAATGACATCTTGTGAGAAACTGGTTGGTAATAAACTATTTTCAGACAGAACGGGATTTGTATCTTAGGGGATTTTGGGGTTTAATTAAGTGAACTAAAAAACAACACAGAACTACCTTTTTACCAAGTCACTTAAAATTCTAACTGGTTCTAATATTGTTAAATATTATTTTAATATTTATCAAATTGTCTTTAACATTCTTATGTTTGGATTAAATTGAAGTCAGTCTGTATGGCTGTAGCGTAGCTTGCATCTGTATGAAAGTCAGAGAATAAATAAGACAACTATTAATAAACAAAGAGAAGATTATGGTGCTGGAAGTATTTTGCAAACTGCTCATCATGCTAATAGACTACATAATTTAGATCTTTTCCCTGGAAACATTCATGTATCAAAACAGTCCCAAAAGAACAAGATCAGTAAGAATAATCACTTTATGGGCAGAAGGTCCTCTCCTGTAGACACTTGTTGCAGCAGGTGCGCAGAGGAAGCCAGGATAACTCCATTCAAAAGTATCAAGGGACTACAGCATCAGGGTGCCCCTATGTTCAAGGTTCAATTTGTGTTGGATTACCCAACAAACAGGCCTCTTCTTCCCTAGGGGTTGCATCTCCTGGTGCTCCAAAGAGTAGGAATTTGGGTCCATAGCCCTCTAAAAGTGGCAGCATTGAGTGCTGTGCACACAGCCAGCCATACGTCTGGCCTGGGGGTATGTGATCGTGGTCCAGAAGCAACCCAGGACACCCCACCCCATTTAGATAGCCCTTGCATTCCAACAGGCAACAGACCTAAATTAATCCACAAACTCAGCTAAGCAGCTGTGAGCATCTAAGGGTCTCCCAGGCCTCTGTGGGAGGCAGTGGTTTCATGAAAACTAGACAGAAAGAAACTAGACAGAAAGAAAGTCCAACTGGAAAACTCTGGAAACAAGATGTGAGGCTGCCCCGTACTTACAGACTATGCCAAGCAAGCTGTGTGACTTGGCTGCCCACTGGCATTGCTTGGATGGCTTGTGTGGGACATGGCACAGCATGGAGCGCCTGCAAGGTGAAGGCTCCAACTTTTCCCTAAGTGATCACCCAAACCTCTTAGCTTCCACAAGTACATTCTTAGATTGACTTGTTTTGAAGTATGCATTTACCTTCATAAATGTTCATATGAAGAAAGAAAAATATCAAATAATAAATTACAGAACTGAGGGGTTTGCTGTCCCACGGTGGAGCTGCTTTCAGTTCTGCTATGCAAGCAGTAATGAAAACAACTGCACTTCTTAAAGATAATTTCCGTGCATCTTTATTGAAAAAAGTCAACCCTACAATCCAAATGATTATGAATTGACATCTGAGCATTCCACAAAATGACAGCACAAGCCATCTATTAGAGAAAGTAATATTGTGAGCACTAGCCAGCGCTCACAACAGTTCCATGCTTTGCTTTTGGGTCCACTCCAATTGGATGAATAGACAGCACAATTCCCAAAATGCAGGAATTTTGCTGCTATGAAGCACTCTGAGGACAACAATCAAGCCTCAGCTTTGTAATGATAGGATTGCAAAAAATGGCCATTTAATTTAAAATAGTCTCTGTGGTTTGTAAAGCTGTTTCTGCATTGCACACAGAGGATAAAATACACACGCTTTCACAGGCTTTCAGCTGCTGGCCCAAGTGCAGAAAGGCTTAAGGCAAGACAGTTTGAATTTACATGATGCAAATTAGAAGAATCAGGAAGAAAAGATGGCTCTGAAAGCTATGCTTTGTTTTATCCTAGAAGAGGTATAATGCAAATTATTTTTTTCATAGCTAGCAGGACCCAGCCAGATTGCAAAGGTATGGGCATGGGAGTAGCCAAACAATAGCTCTATTCTCCCACACCAAACTCTCCAAATCTGAAGTCTCACTTTCCAGGTTCCCAGACTGAGTATAGGCCTTGAGTTTAATTAGGATACCTAAAAAATGAGCACAATCTGAATTATTAGTTAGTTTTGGTAATGCAGGCCTTAGCAAGGGAAAGCACAGGGACTGAGTCAAGCCTAGCAGAGAGTGTGGTACATTAACCCAAAGATATTCCCATAGGCACGCAGTGAAGTTGAAGAAAGATGTGGAAGATTGTACGGAGACACGAAAAACTCTTATACCAGTTTATGAGTATTTTCTAAGCACTACCTGATGCTATAGTTTACAAAGGGTGGAAAGGGTACAAAAAGGAGCCAGAATACACCTCTGACATGAGCCAGGTAAAGGCATGAAGATAGAGGAATGTGTGATGAGTCTTAAGGGATGCTGGCACAGCCTCCGCTGGAGTTGTGTGCTGGAGCAGGAAATTTATCCCTGAGAAGTAAAGCTGAACATCCCTATTTCTGCTCTGTTCAGGAGCACAAAGGAGCCTGCGCATGTGTGGGAAGGGGGAAGGACTAGTGCATGGCTCTGGAGCTGCCCAGGCACACTGTCAGAGCCTTGACTACCCCAGTTTTGGTTTGTCCTTGCTGGGAATAAAACCCACAATCTTTTCACCACAGAAGCCACATGACTAACAGTCTCTCCTCAAGCAACGATGAAGTAGGCACAAAAAATTAGGAAGGAGAAGGGTGCTCCTTTTGCTTATACCCTCTGGCTGGATTTTTTTCTGAACAAGAATGTCCTTTGGCCACTTTGGTGAGTAAGTTTACCATTATGGAAACTGCTCCACCACACCCACAGGATGGTGAATCAGAGTTATACAACTTTGCTGTTTACAGGCGGTTTGATCTGCTTGCCTCTGCTGTGCTGCTCCCTCTGCTTACAGTAGTGCACAACCAGCTTTGAAGGACAGGTAGCTATCAATAGGAGTAAAAGTGATATGGAAAAGGAATAATTTGTCTTTAAACTTTGTGAATAAAAACTTGCAGTAGTGAGGACAATGACCAGAGAGAAAGAGACAAACTAATTTCAAATTAGAAGTCAATCTGGAAGTGATTTGGTAAAAAACCCCTATACAAAAAGTCACAGTGCACATGGGTTTCTGTAAATGTTATCACAAAGCCTCCAGCAATACAGATAAACAAGTATACGGGTAAATGCCTGAACTCACTTCCTAGCTCAGCCCCCAAGGTTTGGACATGCCTGCTGGCTTGAGACCTAAGAAGCCTAATTCAGCTAAGCACTTTGGGGGTCAGATTTGCGTACTGGGTATCTCTAAATGACAGAGAAGTGAAAGAGCATTTGTAGAAATTGTTTTTCTGGCCAGTGCAATAATCCTGAACAAGTAGGACCAAGCTGTATTTTTGTGCCTATTAGTTTTTGTGCAATCAAATTGTCAAGCTAAAGGTAGGAAGCTCACCAGGCTTAGCAATCTCTCAGCATGCTGTAGACCAAAAGTCCGCGGCTAGGCTTGAAAAGGTTGATCTTGATCAGAAGCAAGAAAGGTTAAATGCACAAACTCTCTTAGTCATTGGGATTTATTTGCTCAGTTCTAATTTTAACTTTGGTTAGCCCAGTAAAAGGTATCACATCACCGTCTGGGTAGCTGTCGTACAAAAAACAATGCAGCTACCAACTTTCCTCTGTTGGATGACATACTTGGGCAGTAGCCCTTTAAAGTAAAGCTTCTTTAGTGCACATGGTTTTCCATTCATTATTTTCCTGATGCTGAAAGCAATGTTATTCATCCCAGAGAAAAATAGATACATTGTATTTCAAAAGTTTAACCAAAACACTGATTTAGCTGCAAGATTTCCTCCTTTCAGGACTTTTAAAACTTACACCTACAAAGTGGCTGCTGGGCAAAATCGTCAATTTACAGTCAACGGGATTTGGTAGGAAAAAAAGCAAAAGGAAAACAGGATTGCAAGAGTGACTGCTACCTACAAAAATGTGGATGACAAGAAGAACGACTAAAAGTGAAGAAAAGACCCCTCTCCCCATGAGATGAGCTAATGAATGCTAAACATGGAATGACTTTGTTATAAAAGAAAAGACAAAAAGAGAAAAAAAACCAATTCTTAACACACTAAATATGTACCATCCACATCTATAACTAGCTACACATTCCCAACTCATGTTTTTGCCAACCTCACCTATCACACTTGCCCAGAAGAGTACCCAGTACCTTCTCCAGTCCTGCTCGTCTGCAGTCAGGAAGTATCATCCACTTTTTGGACCTTGCTAGATAGGTGTAACAGCAATGATAAACCATTAGTTATTCTGAAAGGCCACTGATATTGTCCATATTCTTTTCTAGTTGTTTGGCCACAGAAACATTCATTTCCAGTCTTCTTTTACTGATGTCAAGCTGGTTGTTATCACTGCATCCAGCCCTGTTATCTGACCACCAAACACCCAAACGTACTAACCCTGGGGACACAGTCTTACCAAGGTGAGGCAAGATTCCTCTTCTCAAGAAGAAGATTCCTCTTCTTTGTGGTAGCTGCTGTGGGAGCATTTGGACACAATTCTGCAGGGAATCCAGCTCATTGGGTCTCCTCTTCCTCCTCCCAGGCCTTCTAAGTAACTGCCAGAAGGGACAAACCCTTACATTTGAAATACTGTTGCCCAGAGCATTAGGGGAAATGTTCCCTTCCCAAGTCACACACCTCCTGACTGCTTTTGGGACTTGCACCCTGAACTGTACAAAAGAAGCTATCCAGTGTCATGATGAAAGAATTGTGTCATAGTACCACAAAATATTTAATTAATGCTGGAATCTGGCATTCAAATACACTGCCAAGAGAAACTCTCTTTGTTTCTACTGGATCAAAAGCAATCACACCATGTTAACCAAGTTGTGTTCTTACCAGTTCCTAGTTAGAGTCACTGCTCGAGGAAGACACTACACATCCAGGCAGATGGAAAAAGCAGTATCTGTTATATATCCAGCAACTTGACTGTTCTCCAATATTTATGGATCCCAACCATCTTGACTTTATTATGCCATGAGGAGGAAAAAAAAAGTACAATAATCCTCTTTATGTCTCTTGTAATTGAATCCAATCATGACTATAATATATTGTAGGCACTTGAAGTAACTATTAATTACTGAATGCTTGCTTCATAATGAATTGGAATATTATCTGTTATAGATCAACTTTTTAATATATTCTCTAATGCTTCCAAGATGCTGTGGAACTGATCTATCCTTTAAAATGAATAAAGTATTAAAATCAACAGAATAAAAACTCTTTTCTTTCCCAAACACACTGTAAACTTCGCAACACCATCTCATCAGATTTAGCAAAGTAAGGAGGACTGATCCAAGCCATCATAGGATCAAAAACCTTGCTCATTCCTAAGGTTGTCTAAGAATAGCACCTATCCTACATTCATTAACAATGATAAAACGTCTCAGTATAATTAGAGGACACTGGAGCTGCCAATTTTTGAATAGTATGTGACATTCAGGAAACAGTAATCATAATAACAACATCAGTTTAGAGAAACCATGGCAACTTTTTAAAAGATAGAGGGCCAAGCCTTCTGTTGATCAAATGTCAAATTAATTAAGTGTATTCTTCTTAATAGAATGTGTCCTGGAAATACATCCTTCCCATATTGTCTTGGTTGAGGAGCAGAAGGAGAGCACACTATTCATTGCTTGATTTCCTAAACTATGTAATAGTGTTGCTATAACTGTTGAAAAGCTGCTATACATCATCCTGAGAGTGACTTTGTCTCATAAGTGGTTGAACTAACACATATAGAATGCTCTAGGGTATTATTTTGCAAGGATCTATTTTACAAGCAGCATCACTCTCTACAGAGAAGCAATCACTTCTAGGGCGTAAATTGGCAGTTATTTAATGAACACTGACAAGCTAAGCCTCATGCACATTGTATTTTGGGAATAGTACCTTTTGGAGTGACCCTCATAATTTATTACATCATCTAGCTAAGAGTTCATGCTTACTTGTCATCTTATTTTGGCATGCAGCCCCCAGTAGAAGAGTATGAATGCTCTCCTGTCAAAATCAATGGCAAAATACTCAGTTAAATTCATCGAAAATAGATTTGGGCCTCTAATCAGATTACAGTAATGACTCAGGATGACTGACCTCCCTTCATGGTTTCAGATCAAGCAACAGTTTACATAATCAGAACAGCTTTTATCTTGTCTCTGCAGCTGAATACACTGTCAGTCTGCACCCCGCTGGAGCTGTGGTGGAGAGCAAGCTATGATTGGCATTGATCATTCCCACTTAGGAAGCACTCCCAGATCTCTACTCTGTTTATAAAGATGAAAGAAAATATCTTATCAAACACTGTTATCACTTTGCTCTAGAGCATTAACTGGTTTTGCAAAATATTATTTCCAAAAGAAATATTTTTTATTATGAGAGTGCAGTGTTAAACTGGTGCTAGCAAACAAATGAACAATACAATATGCTGATGCTATATTTAATGAAAAATACTCCCATTAGAGTTAAAATCAATTCACATGGTATAGCCTGAGGGTGTGGATCTCTTCCAGGGCTTCTGGTTACTTTAGCAATTTTTTTCCTGCTACATAAGCAAGATTTTGCTTAATCCTTTCATTTAAAGCATGAGGATGGATACTGAAATCTTCAATACAGTAGGTTCATCCATAAGCATGAATGCCTCATACACACATAGTAAATCAAAACACATAGCACTGCATCCAAAGGAAACATCAACTTACAATGAGCGTGTATGAAAATAAATTGGTATTTTACTCTGTTTCCTGATTTCAACAACATGAAACTCTTGAAAAATACCATAGTGTTTTAAAATAATAGCTATACTTATTTAAATGTATGTTCTTGTTGCATTTGTCTGAACTTCCTGATATGGCAGATGTAAAGATACAGCAATCAGGATGCATTGTCAGAGAAGATGAGGTAAATTCAATTAGCTAGGTTATGCTTCCATCCCATGATAATTAAATCACTTGCCATACATTTAATGCTAACAGAAGTGATAGGCATCACTGCTGTGATCTGATGGTTTCCTGGCAAAAGCATATTCTCCTATATTAGCAGCTTCTCTGCAGCAAACAACCAGCTATCTTGCAAAGAAGGACAGAAATAATTATTCCTGATACTACTGTCAATTATAAGAATTTACAAGACAGGGGACAAAGAAGTACAGAGGAGGTTCAGGACTCTAAACAAAGCAATGTTTTTCAGTCTTTATATACGTAACAAACTTGTATTGAACTTGGTCTACTGGAATATTAGAATAAATTCTCATTGAAACAATGCATTCAAAACTACTTCTTGCTTGGGACAATTTTGTTAATTATAAGCCTGGCCCTGTGGGCATTCTGTCCCCTCGACAGGACATGAACTCATGAACCAGCATAATGCTATGCAAACTTTACCTTTGAGCTGCAAAGGAACTACGTCACCTGCAAAGAGCATATGAAGATACCACATAAATAGTGCTACAAATAAATAAATGAACAAAGCAGCAAGATGTGAAGGGGTGACAGCAAACAAAGCTATGGGAAACTCAAGGTTAATTTCCAATGAAGAAGCGATACAGAAGCTTGGTTTCAGGAGTATGTCACATATTTTACAGCACTTTTGCAGTGTTTTTCTTTTAATAGATTTTTTATAAACAGGATATTCTGATAAGAAGGAAATATTTAATATGACGCATACTCTGTAATTACTATTTTTTTTTATGCTGGAAGGACTTCACATAGAAATACAATCTCTGCTCAGTAAGTTTCAGTTTATGGCAGTAAATTAATCTTTACAAGCAATACAAGAATAGTGAAACTGATCTCTAATTCTCGCTGTACAGTAAATGCTGAAGAAGAGAAAACAACAAGACATTATAAAGCAAAACCCAACCCCTTGAAAGTAGAGAAATGTTGTTTTTCTGTGTCATAGTTGAATAATAGTTGGACAGAAGAATCAATTTGGAGCTGGAAACCACAGTCTTAGTTTGAACTCAGCATTGTGTACAAAGCCCAAAAGATCAGCAGAGTCCAGACCTCCAGATTTTGGTCATCAGAGTAGTAATTGTTTTAATCTGTTTTTCTAAAATGCAACAGCAGAAAAACAAAATTAAAGAAAAGCCCCTGGACAACAACATTCCAAAAATAAACTCTACCAAGAAAGTATTTACCTGTTTAACAGAAAAATATATACTTTGTATTAGGACTTATTTTATAAAATGTATTTCAAAGTTCTATATAATAAAGATGCCATGACTCACAGTGTGATTTTCAAAATGTCACAAAATCCCTTTTAGGTATAACAAACTATTTTCACTAAAATTATAATTTAGAATTAATTTTTGTCCGTGAGCCACCTAATAATATAAAATTCTACTAGAATAGCTAAACGTGCAGATACACTGCATATTTAAGCTGACTGGAACAGCTGACCAGGCATTACTCTAAAATCCTGTTCAGAATAGTTTGACTGGGCAGCAATGTCTCTTTCGGCCTCAGAAACATCACTGATGAGAACCAAACATTTGTTCCCCCTGAACAATGTTTCCTTACATTTTCAGTTGGCCAACTCTCTAGCTTCCAAACTTCCTGTAATTGGCCTGATTTTTTTCCAGCCAAAAAGAACTTTCTTAAAAATTCAACCTACATTTGAGAACTGCTAAGAATTACTTTACAATATTTCCTCTTAGCTTGCTGCGTAAATGACTACATTTCAATTACTTCCTTCCTCTGAATTAGATGGACTATTTGGCATTGGGGGAAACTAAGTAATTTTTACTCAATGCAACTTTTAAATCCTGATGATACTATCAAACACTGCAATTTAGCACAATATACAAAGAGGTCATACATTACTACTATAGACAGTTCTATCTTTTTCTTTCCCCCCTTCTTTATTACCAGTATGTTTTCCCCTTTTTGTAAAACTGTTCTCATGAGACCTTATTTTACAAAGCATGGAGAGGAAAAGGCAAATAAGAGTGCTTCTGAGCCTTACATCCTAAAATGACAGAAAATAACTTAAATAAGAGTGGATCATATTGACTTGAGTGCCTACTCGTCATTTACCTTAAAAACCCAATGAAGCCCGACAGCTCTGAGCACTGGGATCACATTCAATAATGGGAATTATGACAGAGTAATATGTTTCAAAGAAGTCTCATAGCAGTGTACTTTCCAGCTATATTATATGCCTATAGCTTAGGATTCTTTGGTCCAGGATTCCACACAATTATGGTATGGGCTTTTGGTAGTAACTGTGCTTGATTTTTCTAGATAACCTAGTAGCCACTGACAAGAGGACAAAAGAAGATTTGAGATCTATAGTTAACGTTTAAGCCTAATAGCTACAGTAATTGATTAGTTCTCCATGGATTTTCTTTGGTCACTGAGGTGTGTACAGAGACTACAGGAGATTATTTTATTGTGTAATTTTCACAGCGCAGCAGGGTAGCTTGACAATGGGTTGGATACCACCCTCCTGACAAAAACCATGGGGGAGGGATCAGAGTAAAGAAAACTCAGAGAGCAGAATCACTCCATAACAAGCAGGGGGTAGGATTTTTCCTTCCTGAGAAAGAAGCAAGATTTCTGGCCCCACAACTTGTAGATATCTGAGATCTCCTGGGGGACAGAGTCATTCTTATGGAGAGTTATGGCTCACTTCAGCCCTAGAAGTATCAGAGGCCTTACCCAGTTCCCCGGCTACTGAGCCCTATTTAATAGCTAACATGTTAAAAAAGCTCCTTGAAACAGCTATATCATGTTTACTGAACTAGAGTAGGACCAGAGGGTTAAGCAGCAAATACACAAGTAGTGCAAAGCTGGTTTTGTTTCAGGGGTGGATGCAAAGAAGTTGAAAGTAGATATGGAGAGGATGAAGGTTGATGGCTTAAGACATCCTGGAAAAAGTGTCTCCTTATTGTCCACAAATCAAGCTAGCATCGACCACAGCAACTGTCACAATCTCTTCTAAAACAAAAGTGAGTTGGAGGGGCCTATTCTACAGCTAGAACAGGAGTTGGTGAACCCCTGTTGAGGAGATCAACAGGAGCATGGACTGTGGAGATGGCTCAGACAATCGCATCTACCAGAAACTAAACTGAGACTATCAGTGCATTTTCTATCTGCCATCCAAGAGACTGCCAACTTGTATTTTGGTATGAACCAGCAGCAGTCAGAAGAGGGCTCATTCAAATGCTGTTTATACATTTGACCCAGGTCTCAGTCATTTTCATTTCCAAGTACATTTTAGTAATATCTTAACTCAGTCTCAGAAATCCGGACACGAGCCTGACTCTTCCAAACTCTAGGCCAAGGTCCTCTCAAAGTTTGCCTCAGTTGCTGGGCGTTCCATTTCAAGTACCTTGCGTGGACCTGACCTTCAGAAGGTGAATACTCACCACTTTCTAAATACACAACACTCAAAGCATCCTCCAACCAGACTAATAAAAATTAAGGCACTCAAAAATTGTTAGTTACTTTTGAAAATCTTGCCCATAACGAGAACAGACTGATTGACAAGAAAAACACAGGTAACCATAAAAAGATCCATGTGTTGCTGTGTTCAACATACTTACAGTGTAAACTTTATTCCCATTCATAGTGACATAGTTAATGGCAAAAGGGTTTGCCCTTTATGTCCAGTACCCATATTTTACTCTATATCTCTAGAGAGCAGGAGTCTGTATAAGCAATGAGAGAGGAGAAAAAGAGTTGATGGATTACCAGTTTTTCTTCTGGTAGTGAATTCAGCTGTCTGGAATTGTGAACGTTAGTACAAGAGGAAACGAGATAGTTATCTTTTGTCAAAACTGTGATATAACAAATGTTAATATAATCTCAAAGGGAGGCACAGTTCAGAATATCTTTTTTAAAAAGATAAAACATATCCTGAAACAAAGGCTGCTTTTAACTATGTGTAAACAGTCTTTGATCAATCAACTGAATCCTTAGAAAGGGATGATATATTGTAAAATACAACACAACACCCCTACAACATTTGGGTAAGTGCTTAAACTTTGCTCACAGAAAGGATGCTAGTAGTTGTTAAGGGAGACCCAACCAAAATTATTAGAATGTAACTTGTTTGGGTTTTTTTTTCTTAATAAATTAGCACAGTCCTCTCCTGGAAACTGCAATCAGTACAGATTAAAATGTATCAGTACTACTGCATTATAAATGCATCAGACATCAGACAGAAATTCCTCCTGAGGGTTGTCTTCAGGTTTCATGGCTTTTTGCTTCCTCTGCTGCATCCTCAGACAAACCTGTAAAGCAGAAAGAAGATGCTTAAAAATTCAGTGTACTTGGCAATTACATGCACTGTATTGTTGATTCCATCAGTTTGTGAAAGCCTTGGTTATAGCTGAAGGAAACAATTTATTACACGCAAAACAGGATAAAAACGCATAACTTGCAAATTCAAGCACTCACAAGTTCAGAAAATATAAAAACTTGAGACAAAAGAGGTGATTTCACATCAGCTCTTTTATACATATCATAGATGATAACAGTCCAAGGTATAAAATCATAAATTACTTTTGCATCAGGAAAAAATGACAGAACAACTGGGCATATGATCTGAGACACAGTTACTCCAACCTCCTTGCATTTTTCCTGTCCCTTTTTCTGGGTAGAACTCATAATACAAATTGCAAAACAATAGAAAATTGACTCCATAAACTCATTAGTAAGGATATACTTTGTGTATATATATGTATATGTACATATATATATATATATGTATGTATATATATACATGAGTATTAGCTTGGGAAAGGGGAAAAAAGCCAAACTCTTGTATTGAAGATAACTTTTACCTTAAGCCAAGAGAATGAGTTTCCTATTTTTAAATGTTAGTTCAAGAGATTAATCAGTCTTGAATAGGATAATAATATTTGCAATAATTAACCTGACAGAATTTGAAAAGGGTATAGAAACTCATAAAAATGGCTTGGAATATCTAGGGAGAAAAAGAACAGTGGATAATCACACAAATTTGTATACACACATATTTACATGACTTAAAAGTGATTATTTCGCCCATCAGATTCTTACATATCCACACCTAGTTTAGGTTGAAAACAATTCAACTTAAATCCTTTTCTAATTAATATAAAGCAATCTAAAATAAAGTGGAATCATCTCCAAATGATATATGGACAATAATAAAAATTACACACAGATTTTATGAGGTTTGTTTTGGTATCTTTTTTTTTCCTTATGAGCCATCTCTGAAGAAGGTTGAAATCCCCACACACCTAGCAAAATGATCCAGCAGGTCAGTAGAATAAAATTTGAGCATCCAGGTGTTCTAACCCAAGCCATCAGTCACCTGTCAGCCTAACTGCTTTCACAATAATGTTCACACAGAATTTAGCACAAACAACCTGCATAATTATAAAAAATTATGCTTTCATTTACATCTGTTCTATTCCACATGATCAAAACCATCTAGATTTGTTTTCCAGTTTTTACACTTCCAATGTTTTTGGTGCTTGGGAATTTTAGTATTTACAGTGGTTTTCATGGGTGATGGTACTAAACTGAACAAATGTTATCTCAAGCCTTGAGATACAAAAGACTAAAGCAGTAAAATTTCAGCAACAGCTGGAAGCCCAAGGCCCCAAGGGGCTAAGATGTTCCCCTTACTGAAGTTTCTACTTTTTTTTTTTTAAGGACAATTAAAAATACCACGTTAAGAGCTGACTTGGCTTTCCAAAGGTCAGCCCTCAAATGGCAGTTCTTTTGTTCAAAACTCTTATCACATAGCACACGCTGGGATACCAAAGGGACCAACAGCAGGTCCCATCTTGTTTCATTAATGATCATGGGGAAGGAGGTAGGTAGCATGATAATGAAATTTGTGGATTATAAGAAACCAAGATGAGCTTCAAAAGCTGAGAAGAAAGAAATAGTGCTCTAGGACTAAGAAATTAACAGATCTGAAAGAAGATAAAAGGAGATGCCACTTGAAATACATTGTGGAAATAACAAAATTAAACACAGATAGTTCATGAGAAAAGCCCTCCAGAAGTAGCACAGTGGAAAAAGTTGTTTAAGACATGTATTTGCAGTAAAATACCCCATGTAGCTCAATGCAGTGTAGAAAGCACTGCTAAACTCACAGTTAATACTGTTCCTGATTACATAGCTTTGTTGAGATCACATCTGCAGCTGTTTACAGCTCTGCATTAAAAAACTACCAGAGAATATCTTACTTTCCCACCCTAATCAAGGAAAAGAGTAAAAGAATTATGAAACTGGCTGCTGCACACTCTTGTAAAAGCTCGACTCGCACATAGTCCAGATGAGAAACAGAAAAAAGAAGTTATGATTATGGTCAGCTCTTTGTACCTGAAGAGAATGACTGCCGATTTACCAGAGATCAAGAGTCTACTAATCTGTGCATTAGCATTGCAGACTTAAGACATGATACTGCCACTGCACAGTGCTCTCAGCCTCCCTGCCTTTGAGAACTGGCTGGCTAGAAGACCTCTAAGAAGCATAACAGAACAGAAAATAAGAAAGGGAGGTTTAAAAAAATATCACGGGGAAAAAAGCTTCATGAAAAGCTTTTAATATCCTAATGCATTTTTTTCCTTTAATGGGCTGAAAACATGGCATATTAAAAATTAAAATGTAATTATAAATTTATAATGTAAAAAAAAAATTTATTTGAGCCAAAAAATTAGTGCCCAAGATCCTGCTTTCAAAATCAGATACTTCCCTGACATCAATTTCTTACAAATGACCCTTGTGTCTATTTCTACAAACTGCCATATCAAAATGAACCATGTGAATGGTTACTTTCAAGCTCATGAAACACGGTGGATCCACTAAACTTAATGCATTAACTGTAATTATGGACTGGTAGAAGTGAAGTTATATAGTGGGATTTACCTCAGGTTTACAAAAGTTTGCCCAACAGCATTATATATGGCTACAGGGAACCTGGAATACTTCGGCATGGATCAAAGAACTACATGTGTAAACTGTGGGAGAGGTGAGCTGACAGGTGAGGCACAGAATGCAGCTATTTTTATTGTGCAACTCCAAAATGGGAGGCAGCACAGAATCATAAAAACATGGCTTGCAATAACCAGCCTTCCCACCTCTACCCTGTGTTTTTTCAACATGAAATATTTATTAGTCATCTAGGAGAAAAACATAAATGTCACATTGATCAAACTGGCACATGCTACATTATAGCAGATGAGATAATTAACATCAGAGAGGTTTCTCATCAGCATACTCTGACAAGCTTAGGCAGATCCTAAAAAATACAGGGTATAAATAACAAATTCTGCAGATTAAGTCTCCTTTACATCATTTCATCAGGGAAAAAAAGAGTTTCCTTTCATCTTCATATTCCCCGTTATAAAGTTCTCAATGTTTCATTTTATAGTTCATCCAAAAATACTATCAGAATAACACTGGTCTGAGCACACACACTTAAAAAAATATATATTAAAAGGTTTATATCTCTATTTATCAGCACAGCTACAAACTGGGAAGCTGCTTTTGGAAATAATCATGATAAATTTTAACTTTGCAGTAGGCAACTCCATGCAACTCCAAGAAAGTTTGGAGGTCATTTTTCAAAACAGAGTCCAAATACATGCTTAAATTAATAACCTGATTAGTAGCATGGTATTAAGTATATCTGACATCAAAACGGTCACTTAAATCCCTCAAATTTTGTGTATTTGTTAATCAGAGGACATCAGCACCCTCGGAAATCAGATCCTATAAACAAAGACACAGAATACCTCAGTCATGTTAATTTGCCTCTTGAAAAGCATGATTAATACACACATATCATTGAGTCACAGAAAGTTCATTTGTAGATCAGAATGTACTTTTGAGCCTTGAAAACCAAAAGTTCAAAGAAAATCAGTTACCATGACAGAAGCACCAAAGACAGCTGAAAAACCCCAACTTTCCTGGAATTATTATTCATGTAGTTAGAGGGGGAAAAAAAAACACAAACAATGACACATTTAAAGGGAGAGATGGTATTTGATCACGGTGGCAGAAGGGAGGAGAAAGGATCATTTTCTGTAGTCATAAATTGTTCACACTAAGCATGATGGTGTAAGGTTTAAAAATGCTCAGGTTAAACAATTAGGCAATGGAAGAAACTACCCAGGGAAGTGGCTGAGTCAAGGATATGAGAAGATTGCAGAAATAGGGTAGACGAAATCTAGTGGGGATTAGTGAAAAGGAAGATACACAGGTTTTGAATTGGATGACCTAAAGGATCTTCTCCAATCCTATCATTTATGCTGCTATGATTCATCCTAAGGAGAACATTTTGGACTCATATGAATTACTGGCTGAGTTTCCTGGATACTATTGTACATTAGTCTACTCTAAAGCATGCATAAAACTAAGTCAAAGTTGGCTTTGAAGTGTTTGATCTGCAATATCCAATACTTCCAGTCTCTTTTTCATACAGTGACTCAGAAAAAGGGTTGTTATAACAAGACAAAAGTTATTTTGAGTTCAGATTAAGTTAGAGAAGGGAGGCACCCTGTTTTTCAGCTATTCCCACCTAAAAGAGGAAAAAAACCCACCCCATCTCATGGCCTAATGGTTAGTATTGCTATGTCTAGGCCTGCCATAAAACAGCTTTAGAACAAACTACTGCTTAATAGTAACTGTTTTTCATAGAATTTTGGATCCAGAACTAAATGTTCCAAATGACCAAAGTTAACAGCTTTTTGATTTTTTGTTAACAAAAGATGACAGATCTTTCCCAGCACCTTCAAGACATATTTCTGAAAATCATAATTCTCTTTTTAAGAATGCCCATTTACTCACTGCTAATAATTTTCTTTATCATTATAAATTGCTTGAGGAAATGTATACAGTTTCCTTTTTCTTAGTATTTAATCTTCATTCCATGAACACAATCCAAAGGGGTTTTCAGAAGTCTAAGAAAGTAACAGTGTATTGCTTATTCCAAACAAACTAACCCAGTTTAGTTGGAGTGCAGAATGGATTAGTGTAAAATCATTAACTTCAGTGCAGTGCAGAAGATTGATCACCACAATGGACAAGCTACAAACTTTCCTACACTGCCTAAAAGAGAGAAACAGGACTTGACTGGTATTCTGTATCACTTTTTATAGGCTAATAAACTGAGAGTGAGCCTCTCCATTGCCTCCCCAAGTCACCAATGAGTCACTGATCCCTGCAAACATAATTTTAAAATGCTCAGATTTTTGTATCTGAAAGTGGAGTGATGGTAGCTGAATGAGCA